TACAGAATATTTCAACTAGTGTAGTGTTTCTCAAAGCATAGTCCAAGGATCACCTGCAACAGGTTGTGGGGGGGAGGGTCCCCAAATGTGTATTCAAATGAATAACACCATGTGATTCTAAGGTACTGTAAAATTTGAGAAACACTAATTAAAGTTTCTCTGACTTGTCAGTTAAGCTAGTGAGCCAATTTCATTTCATATTCCTCTACTTTCTCTAGCTTCTCTTTGATATCTCCTCCATCTTCAGCCAGCCAAGGGGAGGTGGGTAGAGAAGCACACAAATTCAGACCTGGGACTGGGATAGTTTCTTCTTCACTGTGGGCAGCCCTGTTTCCTCAGCTTGCCTTGGTGCCTGTGAGATGAACCCAGGGGTTCATTTAGTTGAGCTTGCTCTGTTCTTTTAAAGCCTCAAGGCCTTGATTCACCCTGTTCCTTCATTCTAGAATGCCTTTCTCTCCCAACTCCACCCCTCCAAAGTCATCTAGTTATTAGAACCCTCCAAACAGTTCTGGAGTTTCTCAGCCCTTTTCGCTATGCCCTCAGTAATCCATTCATATATTCAACAAATACCTATTGAGCACTTACTATGCACAAGGTACTGTTCTAGGGCCTGGAGATTCATGAATCAAACCAGGTAAAAATCCTTATCCTTGTGGAATTTATATTCTAGTGAAGAAGACAGACAATAAGCAGTAAATAAATAAATAAGAAAGTTATATGATACATTAGAGGGAAACAGGAGTGTGGAAATGTAGGGTTCCAGTTTAAGCAGCCTGGTGGGAGAGCTTCATTGAAAAGATATGAACGGTGGGCGAGTCAGCCATGCGGCTACTTAGGGGAGGAGCATGTCAGCCAGAAACGCCAGGCGGGTTGGAAGGAGACAGCCAGCAAGGAGGCCATTGTCCCTGGAGCTGGGAGTGGGAAGGGGGTCAAGGAGGTTATGGGTGGCCAGATTCCGTTGGGCCTTGGAGACCATTGTAAAGATTTGGCTTTTTACTGAGTGAAATGGGAAGCCTTCACAGGGTTTTAAGCAGAGGAAGGACATATTCTGTTCTACGTTTTTAAAGCATCTCTCTGGTTGCAGTATGAAGAATAGACAAGAGAAGAAAAGTAAAATTAAGAAGCTATTGCAATAATCCAGATGAGACATGATGGTGGTTTGGACAGGGCGGCAGGTGTGGAGTTCATAAAATTAATATTTGTTTAATTCAAGTTGCAGCATTGTGGCTTCCATTGAACGCGTCACTAACAGGCCTCTGCGGTGGTTTTTCCAGCCTGGATTTCAGAAAGCGTAGGAAGAGGAGCAGGGGAAGATGGTTTGGGGTTACCAAGGAAACACACCATCACAGGTCTGAAAACCTGACATGGTTCTAGGCCTGTAGGCCTCTGGCGCAGCAATAATTCTGCGGCCGAGCCCACCAGCAGCTTCCCAATGACCACGCGCAACAGGCCAGGGTGGGAGCCTATGGAAAGCACAGGACTTTCGCAAAGCGGCACAAGCGCATTCCGGGAATCGTAGTTCTGCGCCCTTGCGCAGGCGCAGTGTCGGCACCCCCCCCCTCCCGCCGGCTTGCGCGCGCAGCTCCTGCAGGACCAGCTTCTAGAAGCTCATTGCGGTGGCGTTGGTCGTGGCTGCGTGTCCTGCGGCAGGTAGTGGTTGTCTCGGGCCCCTAGTCTGGGGGCTGTGGCCAGGTCGCCGGCTTCGAGGGTGTACTAGGGGCGGGCTGGGGGCCGAGGGCAGCCGGCTGCCCTGGCTGTGCCCTCCCAATGCTGCAGCTTCTGTGGGAGGTGGGCACTCTCCTGAATGACGGAGCTTGCCTCCGTCCCTTCCGTGCGCCCGTGGTCTCGAAACTTCGGTACTTGGACATTTTGGGCGGGAAAATTCCTTGCTGTGTGTCCCGGGGGGGAAGATGGGCAGTCCCGTGTATTGCAGGATGCTTAGCAGCATCCCTGGCTCTACCCGCTAGGTACCAGTAGCATCCCTCCTCCGCGGTTGTGGTAACCAAAATGTTTTCAGACGATGCCAAACGTCCCCTGTGGGGCAGATCCACCCTCTCCCTCGTTTGAGAAGTTTTTTCTGCCTGCGTCACGTTTTCGCGGAGCCTCTATTGAAAGCTCCCTGGGAGACCGAGACCAGTGTCTCAGTCACCGCAGAGTCCCAGGTGCTCAGCACGGCGCCCGGTACTTGGGAGCCGCCTAATATTTGGCAGAGGAATAAATGACGTCATGCATACTGTTTGCTGGGCTCTGTGCTTGGAGGTGGGTAATTATTGGTATTGCAACAGGAGGAGAGTGTCATTTAACTTGGGGCATCGTAGCTCATCTCTGGCTGTATTATCATTTCCTGGGTGTTCTGTGAGGGAGGTTGGGGACCCTGTCTGACCTGTTCATGCCTATCTCCATAGTGCTGGGTTCCCACTTCATTGTAGACGTTCAGTTATTTGAAGAGTGAAAAAATGCGTGCAACACAGGACAGACTCCCTGCAGAAGCGTACTTGGAGATCAGAGAAAGCTTCACACGGGAGGTGACAATTGAAAGGAGTCAGGTTCTAGAAAATGCGTACAAGTTTGGCAGGAAAGGGAAATAAGGCAGCATTGCCAGGAGAGAGAATGGCTGTAGTGCAAGGGCTGGAAGGGGATGGAGAGTGTCTGGGAATGGGGAGATATCTCTTTATGGCTGCAGTGTCCATCAGAGGCAGCTAGAGCTCAAGAGATGAGGTCATCAGGGCAGAGTCTCCAGATCATCATGCATGGCCTCTGGGTTTGAATTTTATCTTGAGACAATTGGAGAGTGATAGAACCATATTTTGCATAATAGAAGGAATCTTTAGGCTGCAGTGTGAGACTGGATTGAAGAAGCCTGTACTTAGGTAGTTTCAGTAGGATAGGATGGAGAGGTGCTTAAAAAATAAAACCACCAGAACTTCGTTATTGATAATGTGAGCAATTTCAGAGGCAAATAGGAAATCAGGCTTCTGAGTTGAGCAGCTGGTGGGGAATGGTCACCCCCCCCCCTTCAGCTGGGGGGCCATTCGCTGAGAGATGGCAGGAGTTGTTGGATCGGTTTGTGATTGGATCCTTTTGTAACAGTGAGCCTTTTCAGATATATTTTACTTATGAGGAGTATTAAGTCTGAAGAAACTGTTTTCTTGGAGGATACCTTTAATTACCCTTAAGTAACTCCTTGGCTTTTTACCTCCAAAGAGAATTAATTTTTTAATATAGTACTTGGACAGGGCTGTTCTAAGCGTCTGAGAGTATGTATGTGTCTGTGTATATATATCTGAACCGAACCGAGAACAATGTGTTTAGGATTAACAATTTGTTTTCCTTATTTAATATCTTATGTTTCTTGACAGTTTCTGCAAAGCCATAAACTGCATCGTTGGAACCCTTGATATTTTGCCGTCTGTAGTGCCTGTTGGTGGACTGTGCTGATATTCAACTAGAGTCTAAAGGGGACTGGCTTCCTGCTGGTGACAGACGTTGCAAGCTGTAGTACCCTTGAACGTGATGACAGCCATCTCCCCAGACCCTCAAACTCTGGCCTCAAGTGAACAAAACAAGGTCCTAAGAATGGAGACTCCCGGGAATCCAGAAGCTGTCCTAAGAGGAGACACTGCTGACCCAGAGTCTTTCAGACAGAGGTTCAGGTGGTTTTGTTACTCAGAAGTGGCTGGACCCAGGAAAGCCCTGAATCAACTCTGGGAGCTCTGCATTCAGTGGCTGAGACCAGACATCCACACGAAAGAACAAATTTTAGAGCTTTTGGTGTTTGAGCAATTCCTGACCATTTTGCCTGGGGAGATCAGGATTTGGGTAAAGTCACAGCATCCTGAGAGTAGTGAGGAAGTGGTGACCCTAATAGAGGATTTGACTCAAATGCTTGAAGAAAAGGAAGGTGAGATTCATAGATGGAGGGAGGAAGTGGGAGAGGTCTCCTCAAGGTATGAAAGTACACACCCCCCAAGAAAGCGATTTATTGCTAAAGAGGAGTCTTAAGTTTGGAGTTGGGACTGTGTTTGAATCGGCCCTGCCTTTTACTGCGTGATCTTGGGCAAGTTACGTAACCTCTCAGAACTTTAATTTTTTGTCTATGTAAAGGAGATCCCATCTTCTCTAGTTTTGTGGTGAGGATTAAACAAGATAAAGTATAATACATAGTGGATGCTCAAGAAATAGTGATTTCTTTCCTTTCACCCTTGAGCAATAGGGGACCTTAGAACACAGGAGAGAAAGAAATTATCTGAAAATGTTTGGAGTCACAAGCGTATCATCCAGCCCAGGTGTCAACTTCTCGCTCCAGCTTGTGCAGTAGCACATTTCTAGAATGGGGCTGTCCAGTATTGGCTGTGATGGAAATGGGTTCTGCACTGTTTTTGCCCTTCAGGTTAAGCATGTGAAATGTGGCTAGTGCAAATAAGGAATTGAAGTTTTAGTTAAGTTTAAATTTAAAATAGTCATATGTGGTGAGCAACTACACTATTGGATAGTGCAGTTCCACAGCCTTAAGGGAGGAACAGCTGACTTATAGTTTTATAATTACGTTATTATACACTATATGTATAAAATATAAACTCTGAATTACAACATAGTTATACTATTGTAAAATATTGATGAAAGACTTCTAGGGTGGATAGCCCTTTAAGGGCATGTGGTTCAACTTATATAAAATCCCTCTAATAATCTACAGATATGCCACATAATTGTGGCACATTATTTACGATCAGGCTCTCATTATATATGTGTGACAGTTTGTATTCTACCAAGAGTTCTGAGATAGCGGGGGAAATAGCGTTTACATCCACAGACTTAATTTGTGGTCACACAGCTAATTGGCGTATCTAAAATTTGGGTTTCCTGGCTCTTCTCTGGCTTGTTTGGCGCTGCAACATGGGCTTCTGCAAAATTAGGGCCTCAGTGTGGAGGCCCCTGCAATAAAGTTCGTGAATTGATTGCTCTAGCATTCTGTAAACAGTTTCCTTAAAATAATTCCTCTTTTTTCTTTGATTACATAATTCGGATTCTTAATTTCTATTGATTGTCTAATCAATAAGCTGCCTAAAATTCTTTTCATGAGAAAGTGAAGTATGATTTTAAAAACCGCTTTTCCCTTGTTAGAAGAAGAACTGTTGACACCTTAGGGTATTTCATGCATTCAGTTCATGTTTTCAGATTCCTGATTTCTGTCTGCGGGAATCTGTTGGTGACCCCAGAGATGGAGTTAGTTCTTGAGACCAGCTTGGTGTTTTGGTTTGTAAAGTGACTCGTGTGAGGCACTGTGCTGGGACTGCAGAGAAAACAAATTAATACATAAAACAAATATGCTGTTTTACTTTAGTATATCTTATAAATATTTTAAAAACCAGTATTATTGCAAATTAAAACCGTGGGTATATAGAATAAAGGAAGTCCGTTTTTGAGCTTAGGAATTGAAAGGATATTTTCCGGGGTAGGGGAGAAAGCTTGGGTTTTACTAGGAAACTCTATCTGTGGCTGTTCTGTGTATTTGAAAGAGTGGGGAAAGCTGTTTTTCTGTTTCTTCTGACCTTTGTCTCCAGAGGGCCATAGGTAAGAATTTCTAGTCTGAGGAATCTATCTGAAAGACTGGACTGTTTTTTTCCCCTCCTTTGTAGATCCAGTGTCTCAAGATTCTCTTAATTCCCAAGAAGAGAACCGTGAAGAAGATAAAACAGTTTCTGTCCCTTCAAATACTGAGTCATGGGTAAGCTTCCTTTCACTGGTTTTCATTCGTAACTGAATACTTAACTTAGCTCCTACTGAGAGGTATAAAGATACCAGAATAATTAAGGCAGTTTCCTTTTCTTCACATTCTTTACATTCTTAGAGCTTATTCTTCACATGCTATTTTATTTCAGTTACTAGAATTTGTCACAAGTTGGACTCTAATAAAAGCAAAAAAATTATATACTAAAATTCAACAATTATTCATGATAAAATTAGGTAGAAATAGAATTACATTTCCTTAACATGGTAAAAAAACATCTCCAGCTGGATCGTGTTGGAAAATAAAAAGCAATCCTCACAATGCCTGTAAAAGGACAAGAATGTCTAACCTTACTGCTATTAATATTTTCTGAATATTCTAGCCAATGCAGTAAGATAAAAAAGAAAAGAGGTAGGTATTAGTATGAAAGAGACAAATGTATATTATCCAAACAGATATTATTGTCTGTTTGGAAAACCTCAAAGAATTATCTGAATACTGAAGCTCATACAATTAGTTGAGAGAAGTAACTGGTTACAAATCAGTAAGTTTCCTATATACCAATAATTACCAGCTAGGAAAAAATTTTATTCACAATAGTAAATAATAGTGCTAGAGTAGGCTGATAACGGCTCCCCGAAATAGGCCCACTTCCTAATCCCTGGAACCTGTGAATGTCACTTTATTTGGAAGAAAGGTCTTTGCACGTGTGAATAAGTTAAGGATTTTCAAATGAGGAAATTATTCTGGATTATATGGGTGGGCCCTAATTGCCATCACAAGTGTCTTTATAAGAGTGAGACAGAGGGAGGTTGAACACACAAGCAGGAGAAAGCGGCGTGAAGATTGGAGCAATAAGGCACAAGCCAAGGAACGCTAGGGAATGCTGGCAGCCACCAGAAAAGCTGGAAGAGGCAAGAAACAGATTTTCCCTCAGAGCCTCCGAAGGAAGCGCAGCGCTGCCGACACCTTGATTTCAGACTTCTGGCCTCCAGAACTGTGGGAGAATAAAATTCTGTGGTTTTAAGCCACCAAAGTTATGGTAATTTGTTACAGCACCCACAGGAAGCAAATACAAGTGCTGATAGCCACTCTGCTGTACGGCCTCTTAAAATGCCTTGCAGAGGGTGCTATAGAGAGTGTATTTTATTTTATTTTATTATTTTTTTTATGAGGAAGATCAGCCCTGAGCTAACATCCGTGCTAATCCTCCTCTTTTTGCTGAGGATGACCGGCTCTGAGCTAACATCTATTGCCAATCCTCTTCCTTTTTTTTCCCCAAAGCCCCAGTAGATAGTTGTACGTCATAGTTGCACATCCTTCTAGTTGCTGTATGTGGGACGTGGCCTCAGCATGGCCGGAGAAGCGGTGCGTTGATGCGCGCCTGGGATCCGAACCTGGGCTGCCAGTAGCAGAGCGCGGGCACTTAACCGTTAAGCCGTGGGGCCGGCCCATGTAGAGAGTGTATTTTAGTGAGTCACTGTGCTTGTTTGTAATTTGGAGTAATTGCAAGTGTGAATATGTTATTGAATACAAGAATCTGTTTGATTGTGATACAGAATAATTGCAACTTATAACAAACTGGAAATCAAAATTTGGAATGTAGTCACTGATACTACTCTTTTTTTTTTTTTTTTTTTGTGAGGAAGATCAGCCCTGAGCTAACATCCATGCCAATTCTCCTCTTTTCCCACTGAGGAAGACCGGCCTTGAGCTAATATCTATTGCCAATCCTCCTCCTTTTTTTCCCTTTTTCTCCCCAAAGCCCCAGTAGATAGTTGTATGTCATAGTTGCACATCCTTCTAGTTGCTGTACGTGGGAGGCGGCCTCGGAATGGCTGGACAAGCCATGTGTCGGTGCTCGCCCGGCATCCGAACCCGGGCCGCCAGTAGCAGAGCATGTGCACTTAACCACTAAGCCACGGGCCGGCCCCGATATTACTCTTAATGTGATTAGCTATTGCTTGTGGTTAGCTCATGTTAATTTTGCAAATTTGGGTTTGGGAATGTAATTTGTATCTTTCATTTAATATTTTTCTGTTAATCTTAGCAATCAATGTGTTAAGGTGAACTTGATCAATGTTAGACATTTCAGAGAATCCATGTACAGCATTTCACACCAGGGACTAAATGGAAAAAGAGGGGATTGTGTCATAATCTTGGTCTGTATCACGTGTGATAGTCGTATAATAGCTACTTTGTAGCTTGCTTTGGAGTTCTTAAAAACTTGAATACTATCAAAACTATTATTTTATATCCTGACCATGTCTCTGAATCCTTAGTATCTATTTGGGAATAATCCAATGCAAAAAGACCGTGTTTGGTGTTCTAGGAATCCATGACATTGAAGGATGTGGCTGTGAACTTTTCCAGAGGAGAGTGGAGGAAGCTGGAGCCTTTTCAGAAGGAGCTGTATAAGGAAGTGCTGCTGGAGAACTGTAGGAACCTAGAGTTTGTGGGTAAAGACATCTTCTCTTCTGGCATATAGGCTGGATATCTTTTTGTCCACTATTATTAAAAGATAAGTGCTATTAACTGTTTTGGCTGGGCATGTAGGGGTAGTATGACTAATCCTAAAAATGGGTTTTGAAAATGTACTTTTCTGCAGCGTTTTCCCCCAAAAAGAGTTTTGCTTCATTGAACTGGAAATGTGGAGCATCACTTTTCTGTCATCAAGGCCACACCTTCCCCAGTTTTCTCCTCACATTTCAGTATTGATGTCTATTTGACAGCATCTTCTCTCCCTGAGGCTATGTGTGAAGGTTGGAATGTCTTTGTTCTATGCAAAAATAGCCATTTACTATTCTTTTCTCTATGAGCAGGCTTTCCAGTTTCCAAATTAGATTTGATTTCCCAGCTAACGTGGGCTGAACTACCATGGTTGCTGCAAAAAGAAGTCTTAAAAGGCTCCAGATCAGGTGAGTTGGTGAAAAGTAGACAAGGAGATTAGACAGTTGCTTACCAAGTCATTTGGGAAGAGCTTTTGAAATGTTGGGTGGGCTAGATGCTAAAATAGAAAGATGATGAGAACATACCCCTTGCCTTCCTGGAATGTTCATTTTAACAGGGGAGACTGTTAATTTGGGTCCTCTGAAAAGTAGGTGTCAAGACATGATTAGCCAGTGCCAGAGACTTACTGGGGAAAATTCCAGTGAAGGAAAATGGAGAGGGAGCTGGAAGAGGCTGAGAGAGCTGTCAGAGCATGTTGCAAGTCTAACACTTGTGAGAGAAGGGAGGAAGGGTGGGTAAGAAGAGTTTTAGACTGACATGCACTTTAGGAAAGTTTTGGCAAGGCCAAAAAAGAGTCTTCCAGCCAGAGTCGCCTCTCCAAGCCCCATGTCTCACGGAAACAGGCCTGCCTAAGTATCCCCGCTATCTTTGTCATTGACTGGGAGCAGCCTGTGGGAACGTGGCCTTGGTGTGAATGCCATGGTGGAGTCATAGAGCAGCAGCAGGGGTGTTAGGTAAGTGCCCTAGAGGGAGGGGATATGAGGGGGCACGTTTTTATGGATGCTGTAGATAACAGATACCAAAATAAAAAGTGTCAGTAATGAGTGTATACTATAATAATGGCATGTATAAGAAGCAGTGGGAAAACATAGGAGCAAGGGCCTAGTTAATGTTTGAGTTGAATCTTGAAGGATAAGTAGGAATTCATCCAGTGGACAGCACATATAGTATAATCCCACTTTTGTTAAAAGGAGAAAAATACACACATACATGTATATGTCTAAATATATAGATATATATGGAATTTTAATTTCTGGAGAATATTCATGTTAACACTGGTTATCTTTGAGGGATTACATTTTTTTTTCATCCTTTAAAATTTGACAATAAATAAATTGACATTTTAAAAAATAAAAATAAATCATTTACTTATATATCAATATGTTGGTTTATTTTAAAGAAAAAACAATTCACTTTGCTCTATTCCATCTTCTTAGCATTCATTTTAGTCAGCCTGTTGGCTGTTTCTAGTATAGTTACATAAAGAAAGGACAGCAGTTGTCTTATTACGTTAAAGTAGGATTTGAGAGAGTAATTCCAAAAATGGATTCGAAAATTGTTTTGAGTAAAATCTAGCAGCCTTGGTATAAATATTTGCCCTTCCTCACAAGATACTTATGTAAAAAAGCATCATTTAGATGTACACCTTGGTTATTTTTTTTTGTGAGGAAGACCAGCCTTGAGGTAACATCTGTTGCCAGTACTCCCCTTGTTGCTGAGGAAGATTGGCCAGGGGCTAACATCCGTGCCCATCTTCCTCTATTTTATATGGGATGGCGCCACAACATAGCTGGACGAGGTGCGTTGGTGTGCACCCAGGATCTGAACCTGCAAACCCCAGGCCGCCACAGCGGACCACGAGCCCTTAACTGCTACGCCACCGGGCCAGCCCCAACACTTTGTTTAAAAAGTCATTTACAACAGACTGGAGAAAAAAGTTTTTGACAGACAAAGCAGAGTCAGTAGCCATAATTTATAAAAAGCTCATGCAAATCGGTAAGGAACACTGAGTGTGTTCGAAAAATAGGCAAAGAACTTGAGTAGATAGCTGATAACATTAAAAGTAACTGACAAAATTAAAATTTAAATAGATGTGAACATGAAGAAAACGTTCCTAGTCACTGGTCGACAGTGAAATATACATTTAAAGCAATGATACTATTTATTGTGAATCAAATTTGCAAAGATTTAAAGAAAGATGATTTGATCAGAGATGAATACTCAGGTACTTCTTTTCATCATATATTATATAATGGTATAACTTTTCTACTTTTTGGTTCAGTAATTCCATTATTATGACACTCTTCTGAAGAAATAATCGTTTAATAAACATTCAGTAAGGGAATAACTAAATTATGATATATCTATATGATGGTTTATTATGTGACTGATTAAAATTATCTTTATGAAGAATTACCAATGAGATGGGAAAGAATTATGAATGAAAAAAGTAACACTACATATTACGTGTAATTTTTCTATTCTAAAATATATAGAAAAGTTTCTAGAAGAAAATACACGATTTTGAAACAATGGGTAATAGGATTTTTAAACTTCTGGGTAATAGGATTTTGTATTTTATAGTTATCTGTTTACAAAATAGCTTTCTGAAAGTGACAGTGTAATCTCATGATTAAGAGCCAAGATGAATGATGTGGTTAGTAAAGGAATTCAAAGTTCTAAGAAGAGAATAAACGCTAAGAATATGGTATTGGAGAAAGCTCTGTGGAGACTGTGGGACTTGAACCCGAGGCCCTGTCAAATTTATACGTTTGCAGTGGTGAAGGTGCTATGGGATTGCATTCTAGGTAGTATGAAGTATTCAGACTGGAAGAATAGGATTGAAAATGCTGTAATGTAGAGGGGCAGTAAATGGATGCCTGATTGGAGTATCCATAAGGTCGATAGGGCTGGATTGTGGTGACCTTTGAAAGTCTAGTATAGATGATGTTGTGTATCTGTGATGTGAGTAATGTTTTCTATAAACTTTGTGCTGTGTGGCGGCCTTAGGGAGAGGCAGTGTGGTATAGGGATCAAAAGCATGGGCTTTGGTATCAAACTAGGTTAAAAATCTGGCTCTGCCACTTACAGCACGTGACCTTGGGCAAGCTACTGATCTTCTACGTGCCTAGTTGTCACATCCATAAAACGGATAATAATAGGACCTACTTCATAGGGTTGTTGTGGAGGTTAAGTGAAATACAAGTAAAGTGCTTGATATGGGACCTGGCATTTGGTAAGTATTCAGTAAATGTCTGCATTATCATTATTATTGTTTGGAAAGAGAATAGATTGGATATAGGGAGAATAACTTTGAACCTAATATAGAAATTTGAAATGAGGGTGAGGACTTGCATTTCTAACTATGAAACACAAACTTTTCATCTTCCTTAATATTTTTCCTAACCTCTGTGTTTTACCTAGTTTCCCTGTATCACCTTTCCCTTCCCTGTTTTATAAGACTGTATTTGAGAACTGTCCAAGCCATTTTCCTTATAGTCATTACTTTCTCTATTCCTATTTCAGTCCCAAATACAGCAGCTTTCTTTATTACAAACAGGAAATATTCTATTTGTTATTTCTTTTAGAGTGTAAACCTAGAGGTGAATTGAAGGAATCTGTTCGAAATCAAGATGTTCTTATGGAAGAATCAACTTTAGATAAAATAATAGAAAGATACCTAACGGGTGGTGATTATGGCTTGATGGGAGAATCCTCGAGACGTTATGGCAGATTAGAGGAGGATCGTAGCAGTAAGGAATATTCGCAAGTAGCAGTCACACAAAGGAAAACTCACGGGAGAGGCAAAAAGGGTGAGGAATTTGACCCAGAAAAGAGCTCCTATGGAAGTAGTTTCAAGCAAACTTCAGACATAATTAAACATCTGAGAGTCTACTTAAGGAAGAAATCTCGGAGGTATAATGAATGCAAGAAGCCCTTCAGTTTTCATTCAGACCTTATTCAGAACCGCAAAGAACACAATGGAGAAAAGCCACGGAAGTGTAATGAAGTCAGGAAAGTCTTAAGTCATTCTTCATCTCTTACTGAACATCAGAAACATCAGAAAATTCATTTGGGGGATAAGTCCCAGAAGTGCAGTAACTGTGGGGTAGCCTTTATTCAAAGGTCCTCCCTTAGTAGGAAAAAACACTCTACGTGTGAAAAATGTCGGAAAGATTTATGTCAAGACACCACCTTGAATAAAGATGAGGGAACTGAGACTGAAGAAAAAACCCATAAATGTAGCAAATGTGGAAAAGCCTTTGGCTACAGTGCCTCACTGACCAAACACAGGAGAATTCACACTGGGGAGAAACCCTACATGTGCAATGAATGTGGAAAAGCTTTCAGTGACAGCTCATCACTCACACCACATCATAGAACTCATAGTGGAGAGAAACCCTACAAATGTGATGATTGTGGAAAAGCTTTCACCCTGAGTGCCCATCTCATTAAACATCAGAGAGTTCATACTGGAGAAAAACCCTATAAATGTAAAGATTGTGGGAGACCCTTTAGTGACAGTTCATCTCTTATTCAACATCAGCGAATTCATACTGGAGAGAAACCCTACACATGTAATAACTGTGGAAAATCCTTCAGTCATAGCTCATCCCTTTCCAAACATCAGAGAATTCATACTGGAGAGAAACCCTATAAATGTGGTGAGTGTGGAAAAGCCTTTAGACAGAATTCTTGCCTTACCAGACATCAGAGAATTCACACTGGAGAAAAACCATATTTGTGTAATGATTGTGGGATGACTTTCAGCCATTTTACATCTGTCATTTATCATCAGAGACTTCATTCAGGAGAAAAACCCTACAAATGTAACCAGTGTGAGAAAGCCTTCCCTACCCATTCACTCCTTAGTCGTCATCAGAGAATTCATACTGGTGTAAAACCTTATAAATGTAAAGAATGTGGCAAATCGTTCAGTCAGAGTTCATCTCTTAATGAGCATCATCGTATTCACACTGGAGAGAAACCCTATGAATGTAACTATTGTGGAGCGACCTTTAGTCGAAGCTCAATCCTTGTGGAACACCTGAAAATTCATACTGGAAGGAGGGAATATGAATGTAATGAGTGTGAGAAGACATTTAAAAGTAATTCAGGCCTCATCAGACATCGGGGATTTCATTCTGGAGAGTAATTCTTGGAAGATAGTAGGGTGGGGGGAAACTTAGTCAAAATGGTCCCTTGTTAAAAATCTGGGATGTAAACTACCACAGCATTAATTAGTAGCTGCAACTTGGATGGGTTGGCAGCTAGGAAGAATATACTTTTTCCCATTGACCCCTCTTTCAAGGATGTCAACTTTTAGTAGATGGTCATTAGGGTTGATGAAGTCATGTGGAAAGTGAAGAAAGTAGTATGAGATGAGAAATGATTCTGAAAGGCCAAATGTGAATTTAAAAAGCAGGGGAGGGGTGCACGGGACCCACCTTATAACCTCTTTTCTTCAGATTTCCCTCCCTTCTAGCCTCCTCTTCCACTGCCATGTAGTGTAATAGAAAGAGAGCTTGACCCGGGTCAGATAGCCTGGGTTCTGTCCCAATTTGCTGACCCACTAGCTTTGTAACCTTGGGCAAATCATTTGACCTTGCTGAATTTTAGTTTCTTTACTGGTAGAATGAAGGGGTGGGGCTAATGATTTTTGAGTTTTGTTTTGTTTTTTTTTTGTAACTCTGATATTTTCTGAAGCTGTGGGAATAAGTTAAACCTTTTTGATTCATTGGAATTTTCAAGTTTCTCTAGTAGAAAATTACTCATTTAGGATACTGAATGCTTAGAATGCAGTATGCTTTTGGAATATTTGACACCGGAATTACTAGAATGTTATAAACAGAAACAAGTCAGCGAAGCCCAAACAAGTTTGCCTTCAGGGAAGTTTTAATTGGACAAAGCATCCCAGCCTGTTTTTCCTCTGGGCATTGGCTGAGGGATTGAGAAACTCGAAGGCGTGCACCTGAGCCATCTCAGCCATGGGAGTAACAGTCCTAGGAAAACAGATTGGGGGTTGTGGGAGGTTGGGAGGAAATGGGTGCTGAAAACAGAGCTATTCTGGACAGATTGCCTTTTGCAAAATAGAATTCTATTTTTAAAAATTTTGCCTTTACTAAGTACAGCTTCCTGTAGTGGGAGTGTAAACATTCTGTATGACAAAGGTCACAAGCTAAGATTGGGCCCCTTGACGTGTTTTCATTGGTCTGCACAGGAAGGTGTGTGTGCTTGTGTGTGTGTGTATGTATGTATGTATGTATGTAATTGTGTGTGTGGAGTTAGTTGCCACCATTTAAAAACTGGATTTCACCCAAAAAAACAAAAAGGCTTGTCTTGAAAAATACAAAGGCTGACAACACTGGCCCATATTTTGATGGCGCAGTAGCTGGTTTTGGTAGCAGTGGCTACCTTTAGATGGGGAATCTACTCTTCTACTTGCCAAGTTCTCTCGCTTATATAATGTGACTTGCCCGCTGTAGGAATTTGGTATGATCCCCTACCATTTGGAGAAGACGTATCCTAAACTCTCAAGAGGCTGCATTGATAGTGAGATTCAGGAAAAGAATGTAGAAATGATACAGAATAAATGTTCAGTTAAGTTTTCTCTTGTGAAATTAGACCTCAAAGGAATCGAGTATACAGAATTTAGTGGATTATTCCTTACAGATTTCATTGGTGGAGTCGAATAATGACTTCTAACTGTGAACAAGGAACTAAAAAGCCGAAGTCCGTTAGGTTTGGGTCTCAGGTGATAGGGTTCTGGAGGAGCCCCACTGACTAAATGAGGGTATAAAGTTCCTAAAGTTGACATTTGAGGCCGCTCCTATAAAAAGAGAATGAAACCAGAAGACTCAGGGCTTATCGAAGTGAGAAGATACTTAATGCTCATCTGAGACTCAGCAATATCTGCTATGACTTAATGGGTTTAGGTTTTCAGTGCTACCTCTGGATAATATTTTTATTATTTCTTCCTTGTGCCTTCACTTCCCCCAAATCCTGTAGTTCAGATGTTGCTGTGTGATAAATTGATTTGCACAGTTACTGCTAAATGGACCAACCAGGGAAATTTTAGCCATGGAAGGAATATGGCTTATGAGAACCATTTACCCTGGTTTAAGTTTTTTTCTGAAAAGACGTAAACCTTGGTTTGTTTCTTTTGAAAAGATACAAGTTATAGAAATTAAATATGTAAAAATTCTTGAAAAGAGGCTTGTTCCAGGATGTTTACTAGTTATATTCCCTAATTCATAAGAGGATGTTTTATACCAATATCAGTTGGGAATCTGGAACATAAACTTTTTTTTTTTTTAACAACTCTCTTGAGATATAAACTACATATCGTAAAAATCATTTCAAGTGTACAGTTCAATAAGTTTTAGCAAATTCATTGAGTTGTGCAATCATCACCGTTATTTAGAACATTTTATCACCTCAGTAGGATCACTCATGTTCATTTACAGTTTATCCCTATTCCTGCCCCTGCCCGGGCAACCACTCATCTGTCTACTCTCTGTCTGTAGAGTTGCCTTTTCTGGACATTTTATATCAATGGAATCATATGTGTTCTTTTGTTAGTTTTTCTCTAAGGTGTTTCTGAGTTCATCCATGTTGTAGCATATTAGTACTTTATTCCTTTTTGTTGTTCAATATCCCATTGTATGGGTATACTGTATTTTGTCCATTCACCAGTCGAAGGACATATGGGTTGTTTACAGTTTTGGGCTAAGAATAATGCTGCTTTGGGGCCAGCCCTGTGGCTTAGCAGTTAAGTGCGCACGTTCTGCTACTGGAGACCCGGGTTCGGATCCCGGGCGCACACCGACGCACTGCTTCTCCGGCCATGCCGAGGCCTCGTCCCACATGCAGCAACTAGAAGAATGTGCAACTATGACATAGAACTATCTACTGGGGCTTTGGGGAAGAAAAAAAGGAGGAGGATTGGCAATAGATGTTAGCTCAGAGCTGGTCTTCCTCAGCAAAAAGAGGAGGATTAGCACGGGTGTTAGCTCAGGGCTGATCTCTCTCTAAAAAAAAAAAATAATAATAATGCTGCTTTGACCCTTAACATGCAAGTCTTTATGTGGACATATCTTTTCATTTTTCTTAGGTAGCTGCCAGGGTGGAGTTGCTGGGTCGTATGGTAAATTTTTGTTTAACTTTTTAAGAAATGGCCAAATTGTTTTCCAAAGCGACATCATTTTACATTCTGAGCAGCAGTGTATGAGGGTTCTTGGTGAGGGAACATCCTCACTAATCCTTGTTACTGTTTTTTTTTATTATAGCCATCCTAGTGGTTGAAGTGGTATCTCTTTATGGTTTTAATTTGCATTTCCCTGATGGCTAATGATGTTGAGAATCTTTTCATGTGCTCTTTAGCTATTCATATATCTTCTTTGGTGAAATGTTTATTCAAATGTTTTGTTCATTTAAAAAATTGGGTTGTTATTGAGTTTTAGTTCTTTTTATTTTACATACAAGTCCTTTATGCAGTACAAACTTTCTAAATACCATGTATTAGCCACAGAGGACAACCTCAAACCCTGCTGCACGATATTTGTCCAAAGCTTGGTTTCAGTAACTGCTTAGGTATGTTGCCTAAAGGGTATTTAATCTGACCCATCATCTAAATACTTAAATTCATTTTTGGATTACATCAGATCATCAAAAGGTTTTAAACTTCTTTTGACTCTGTAGAACTGCTTTTTTTAACGTTTATTTAACTTTATGCCGTGTGTCTACATTGATGAGTATTAAAATCAGCCCTATGACACATTTTAACTTTGAAGTGAAGACCTTGCTTTTAAAAATGTGTCTTCTTAATGAGTTTCTATTGAAGAAATTTCTTTCAGGTCACAGGAAAAGACAAGGCTTCTCCTGTCAATGGATTTACTTTTATTTACTTTAGGATTCTTTTTTTAATGTGGCAAAACATGTGTAAGCTAAAATTGACCATTTTAACCCTTTTTGGGTGTAAAATTTAGTGACATTAAATTGTTGTGCAATCATCACCACTATTCCTCTCTGAAATTTTTCCCTTATCCCAAACTGAAACTCTACTCATAAACCAGTAACTTCCCATTCTCCTCTTACCTCCCCCAG